ACACATAAAGCCAAATCTCCCATTGGAATAGCGTTTCAACCAACTAGACGTTCTCCAGGTGTTCGAACAATGGCCACGTCCAAAGTCCAGCACCTGAATCCAAACGCGAGAATCTGTGGAAAGAGCTGAGATGCTGTTCACACACGCTTCCCATCCAACTCACTGAGTGAGCTGTTTTGCCACGGCAGAATGTACCCCCCCCCCCCACCCCCCCTCCCCCACTCCCCCCCCCCACCACCCCACCCCCCCCCCCCCCCCACCCCACCCCCACGGAAACGAATTCCCAGTCTCTCGATGTGCAAAATCGATAGTAGATAGAGACAATAACCAAGAACCTTGCCCGATCCTGTATAATTGCAGCCACAATGGTGTGCGTTACAAAGTAGATGAGCGCACAGGGGGCCACATAATATTGCACGCCCCACTTCTTCTTCAGTTTTCTTATTTGTTTCAATAAGTTTTTAATTATCCCAATACATTTCGGTCCACTTCACGATTGTGTTCCCACTTGTTGTTGTGATTCTTGACTCAAAAAAGTTGGAATTGTATATCTTTTATGTTTGAAGCACTGACCTGTGAAGCCAACTGTTGGAAAGGTTCAAGGGGGGGCACGAAAAATTACTTTCGCCCAAGGCACTGTGAATGCCGTTTTTCCACAGTGTCGGTTCCGTTCATTTCCGGTACGGTCAGGAAACACCTATGTTGCTTTTCCACTAGTGGTGGCTGTGTGTAGATTTGAGTCCTTTATGTACAGCCTCTGCCGTGGTTTCCATCCCCATAGTACCCCGTGCCATGACGTCCGTGGCCCACTTTGCCTTAATGCTGATTGGGTCGCAACGAGTGTCGTCATGGAAGCGACAACTGACCCTTAGGGAAAAACAACTCAACCGCCTTCTTTAAAACCGGCTGCTCTGCTCTGGCTTCTGCTCAGCTACATTGAGTCCTCTCCTCACTCCAGAGCCAAGGAACTTGACCAGAAAGCCCCACATGTCCTTGGTCCTAGTCGGTGGAAGAGGTCCACCGTTCCTCTTCTTCCAGGCCCCCAAAGAAAGATTCAAAGGCCCAGCTCGAGGGCTCAACACGTATTTCATGGAGATCACTCTAGCTATGGATCTTTGTGACTTGTCTGTGGTTATCCTGGAAATAATGTGTATAGCTACGAACGCCCCTAAAGCTTCATACTTGAAATGTCATTTACTGTTTGTAAAATGTCTCGATTGTCTGGTTGTACAACCGTGAGCTAGTACCTTTTAGCTTCATTTAGAACTCGATAGCAGCTAAGCTAACGTCCTCCCTGGGCTTACTGTGCTTTATCTTGTATTATCTGCCGTATTCATGTTGTTCGTCTTTTCTGTTTGTGCCCTTGTCTTTAAGTTGTTGTGTGTATATTTGTATAAGCATCTCTTCCCATTTCAAGTGGGAGATTAGCTCAAGCGTAATGAGGTGACCAGGAGTATTCCATCTGGACCTGGTCTGGGACTTGGTTGGACAAGGTCTCTGGACCCTACTTTTACGTTTGACCTTTGTTAACTGTTGATTGGTTTTGGACTGTACTTCTTGTTTTCCATTTAAATCTGTGATGTATCCCAAGTCTGGTTCATTATTTATTAGGTATTGTAGCTGAGGTTTGGGAATCGATTGTTCTGTTATAGGTCTCGGAGTCTGATGTAGTCCCGGCCCCGAGTCCGGACTAGTCCTAGCTACGCCTGCCTTAGCGCTATAAGACTCCGCTACCCCTATGGCTGCAGGCTCTTGTCTCTCCCTCGGTCCTTTACTGCTCGAGTTGCCCATATGACAAAGTTTTTAAAAAACCCGGTATCCTCCTCATCGAGGGCACGTGATAGATGTGTTAAGTGTAGTCACGAAGTAGTAGCTTTGGACTCTTCAGGGTTATGAGTGAGAGAGTCTCGAGCTAGCGCTAGGCATTACCCTATTAGCCCTAGCAGTTGGAGCATGTAAAAAACTCATGACTTTGCATGACCCCGACCACGAGCCTCATTAAAAGGTTGAAACGGGTTACCGCGTCGTAGAGTAAAATAGTCCTACGTTCTTTGAAAATAACGCCATTTCGAGCCGAGAACTTTTCATTACGTGCAGCTCAGCGTTTCTACCTGGATCAGAGCCGAGACAGCGGCGGGGCGCCCCAAACCCGCAACAGCTCCTGCACCCTTTTGCGCCACAGAGAATGCTTTTACTCTCTCCCATTCTGCCCTGTGCTTCGGGTTATAATACCCCAAAACTTACTCCGAAGCCATGCAAACACGGCTCGTTCACCTGGTTCCCAGAGTCCGCAGCGCAGTGACGCGAAGGCGTCTCACATGGTTTCACAAAAGTTTACATACCCAGGTGATGTGTGTGGAAGCTGATCCCGAGAGGACCATAACACAAACATGTTTTTCCCCTACAGCAAACACATGTAGGCGGAAATACGCGACTCCCAAAAGGAGCCGCGTATTTATTTGCGGCAGAATCCTTTGGGCTCCGCTGACACAGAGGAGCGCGACAGACCAGGTACGGTGTGGGTGTATTGTGCTGTGTGTGTGTATGTGTAGTGTTGTTATGTATATCGTGTGTGATGTGTAAATGTACAAGCTCCAATGTATTAGTTCTGACCCGCGCCAGTGTAGCCCAAACGTCTGACCGTCGTAACAGAGGGTGAGAGATGAACTGCCGTGTGGAATGGTACGTATGGAGAGAGGCCGGGAAACGTGTGTGAGTGTGTGTGTGGGTGTGTGCGCCTCGCGCGCGCGTGTGTGCATCTGTGTGCTCCGTGCGGCGTTGAGAGTCGTCTCCCGGATGTTATCTAATTTCCTGGGGCGCACACCAGCTAGATCAGACCCCGCTCGTCACACCGTGGCAAATAGGGCTTACCATAGCGTAATTAATGAGCGTCCTGCCCTCTCCCCCTTTTTCTCTTATTTTACCGAACAGCTTTGACTCGGATTTAAACGCTGTGACGGTCAACCCCCCGGTTTAACCGTTCGCTTCTAGCCGAATTTCCATACGCTTCTAGCTGAGTATCCTCGGGACATGCAGCCTCCTCCCTCTGCCTACACTCAGGCGTGGTGTGTTACAGCGTATGTCCCCATTCGATTGTACAGAGCAGTCAGATCAGCACCACTTGACTTCACAGTGTCTGAGTCAGGTCTTTTAAGACATTATGCCATTTTTCCAAAAACTATCGTTGCTGTGCTGAATTTTCTAGTATACACTTGCTCTGGTATTATAATAAATCCATGCATCCCGCACAGTACTAGTTAGCGTCACACGTAAAATTGCCGGTGGTCTGACACACGCTGAGGACATACTAGGGGGTATAATTTTGATGGAACGCCCGCGACCTGGGCCAGGCCGACGCCGTGGTGTAGAGTCCACACGTATCCGTACTCGGACCGTGGAAATAAACGGCATAGTTCTATCCACTCGTCAGGACTCTCATACAAGTTTTTCATATCTTCTTACATCTGTAGACAGGATTGGCCTAGTTACTTCTGACACGCCGTCGCCCCCTGCTCATTATTCATTTCAAATCCCTTTAATTTTTTGGTCTTGTTTTATTGGGATGCATTTTAAGGCTAACCACAGTAGTTCTTCAGGCAACCCGTTTGATTATCAACAATGCCTAATCCTAATCATACCTGTGAGGTCATCCCTGGATGGGCGTGATCTCTAGCCCTTGTCTGTCTTGGGGTGCGGGATCCCTCCCCTTCGTTGGGGCCTTACTCTCTCAGGTGCCTCACTTTTATTCCCCATGTGGGGATTTTCTTTGTAGTTGTCTCCCCGCAGATGCAAAAGGGGAGAGTCTAAGGACAGTGGTGAATGATTCGCCATGACCTACAACCAGTTTATGGACGTCTATTAAACATTAATGCTTCTCCGCCGTTCATGGTTTAGACCTAATGGCTCTATGAGTTTGTTATTGTTGCTTCCATTTCCCTCTGTTTGAACTGTTTTGATTTCTTTTTCTGATCTGTGCTTTGGCGCATAACTACTGTAATTTAAACTGAATTGAATTAACTGAGCTGACAACAATATAGGGCATGTACATGTCCCTTTAAATCCGCGTTGTAAGTCCCCAAGTTCGACTGTTGAAAATAAACTTTATTCCATGATGACTGTCTGTGAGGTAGAATTTGACATCGATCCCCAAAGGTATTGATGTGTTCAAACCGAGTTTTTAGAGTTAGACATGTCCCTGTGTTTAAGACTAAGAGATACAACTGAAAGCAGAGGAGAAAGTATTGGTAGTGCCGTGGCCCTGTTCTGTTTATTTATATGCACCAGTTTCACAGTGTTCAAAGGTCACCCAAAGCGTTTACATTTGCTAGTCCTCAGTTCTCTCTTGTGTTGTTTAAGACCCTTTGAGTTGCCTTGTGGGGAAGAACCAGTCCTGTACTAATAGCCTTTGCCTTACCTATAGAGATTAGGCCTCTCCTTCGCCCCCAATTTGTATAATTGGACAGTTTTACTTTTCATCCTTTCTTTGAAACCACTGTGTCCACAGACTCGCTTATAAGACACTGTGGGTTATTTCTCCACCGAACATTATAATTGCAGTATGGAAACCTGTGACTTCTTGTTTAGAGAATTACACCACGTCTTGTTTCTCAGAATTGATATGTGGTTATCCCTGTGTTATAAAAAAAAAAGTCATTTTGTTACGTGTGTTTTCATTGCCCTTGTTTCAGTGTGATGATTACACGCCTAGTATATTTCTTCCGCAACATCCTTTCTCGTCGCACTATCTGCGTGTCGGACTTAAATCTGCCATTGATATATTTAGCTACAACCGGAACTCCCTGTAACTACTGTAACATGGACCAACTAAGCCCGGGCTTCCCCAAACTGGCTCTACCGAGAAGTCTCCAACCCCCTCTCGCAAAGCAGCGTTTTCCAGGAACGAGAAGGTGTGTAAGTGGACTATTTTTTCGCTTTTAGAAGGTACGACCGCGTTCTTGGCTGTATCATAAAGGCTGTCCGTGTTTTGGCGTGAGACATTATCACTGGAGAAAAACAAAATGCTCAGCCTTCTTCACTTTGTAAATAACCAAGTCTCTTTTGGTTGGAGTTTTGTCGGACACCGCTCGCCACAGCCTCTAGCAGGCGGCAGACGGGAGCTCATTTCTGCCAACGCGCCATGAAAGTTTACACACATGAATTTACATTTCCTCTTATTATGCCACTGTCTGGAATATTGTCTGTCGTCTGAGGTACTTAAGTAAAGTATGTCTGTTGGTGAATTTGAAAGCACAAGGACCAGCACCTTGCAGCACGCAAAGCAGACGTTGGTTTAAGATCCAGCAAATGCCTTTATCTCCACAAGTGCAAGACTACCCATACTTCTGGTCCTGCATACACACAATTTGGCGACTTGAGACCCGTAATATTAGCTCAAGTACAGGTTTGTTATTTACAGTATTTGTTTGTGACTTTTTCTTTATCTAATGTAGGTGCTCTAGTTTGTATATTATTATTTTTTATAGACTTGTGATAATTTTACTTTTAAATCCCGACAATGTAGCCCCATATTTTACCTGGCAAATTAAAGTAAAAAACATTGTGGGTGTTTCAGGGTATATCACCCTTTGAAAACAACAAGACCCACATGTATAATTATTGCTGTGTACGTCCTCACCTCCACTTGCTGTCCGGGGTCCTCCTCTTGAGCTGGATGTTCCAGTGGTCCGTTGGAGTCCATCTGCTGCGCAATGCGCCATGTCCAGGGCCAGCCGGGACTGAGCAGGTCTAAACCCGGCGGACCCATACCGTGACCTCCGGCCCAGCAGCACCTCACAGGCCCTCCAACGTCTGCAGACTGGACCAAGACACTAAGACTTCTGCCCATTTCACATTACGTCAAACCAGAACAATATATGGATTTACTTTAAGAAAAAAAACAAGAGTATACGGCGTATAAGTAAAACGAGAAATTTCTGCATTTATAATCATGGCATGGTTTAATGTCCAAGCCATACCGTTGTAAAATAACTTTACAATTGTGCCCCACCCCAAAACCTGTTTAATTAAAAGTAATTGGAGGCAATCATTATAAAAAAAAAAGGCTTCTCGACTGGCTTTGTATCAAAACTATCTTCTCTGTCTGGTAACCCCTTGGCGTAGTCTTGGCACCATTTATTTCCCAATATGGTTTTTCTCAAATGGCACAACTCTCTCATTCAATCTTTTTGCATCTTTAATCAGAGTCCTTAAAGCAGACATATAACTTTATAGTTTATTTATTATTAGTTTCTTGAGAATGGAGCTATGAACCAACTCCAGGTCTGTTTTTGATGAGGAACACACTGCTAATAAAAACAGAGATTCCACCAGCCTGACACTATTCCTGGGTCGTGTTTCCATTACACTTTAGTATCTGGTACCCGATTCTAGCACCCTACCCCACAACCAACCAGTGTCCGGTGAATATTCCTGGTAACCACGGCTTCCAGCGCACTCTGGCCCATTCTCTGTCCAGTTACAACACTTTAGTTTAGCTCAATAGATAGCTGGATAGAACAAGTGACAATAGGATTTATTCAATGACAAAGCAGACGTGTCTAGCCTAAGGCTTATGTTCGCTTACTGTGAGGTTCAACTGGATGCTCTCTGGACTTAGGAAGTAGTAGACAAAAAGTGATTAAAATCTTTTCAACGACGATTTATGGGCAAAGTCCCTTGTATTCGGTCAACAAGACAGACCCACCAGGCATAAATATCACCACCGCCAACTTTGTGCCACAGTTACTCACGGCAACTGGGGTAATCACATCTGTGTGTGTTTTCCTTGTCTTATTAAAATCTTGGCCACAGTGAAAGATCCCGACGGATGCAGCCTTGTTAAGCACCAAAAACACGTCCATGACCCGTGCACAACCACATTAGTACAGAGGAACATGTTTGAACTTTGTGTTGGCTATTATACACCAAAGTATGGGCCGCATTCACAATAAGGTCTAACCGCAACAGTGACGGAATTGCAGGCAGTGAAAGGACGCCCTCCCCTCTGAATTGACACGCTTGATGGGGTTTGTTGTTGTTATCAGGCAAGACGCGAGCTATAGATTAGAAATAAATGGCCACTCCCTGTAACGTGTGTGAACTCACACTCCCACAATTGTTGAAACATCAATAACTCCCCGCGTGGTCTTTTTGACTGCCCATATTAAATCTTATAATTCTGAGAAATTGTCCCCCCCCCAAAAGATATTTATGTGTTAATATAATATTTCTGCCGGGGTCCAATAACCCACATCCTAGTTTCATTTTAGGGCTGTCACAATTAGTGCGTTAACGCACGCACATTAATACACTTTTTTCATTAATTGCGTTAAAAAAGTTAACGCAATTGACGCATGTCCAAATGGCCTGCCCACGCCATGCCTGTAGATAACCATCACAAGTGACAGGGACCGGGACGTTTGTGAGATGGTGACCAGAGCATGGTACGCAGTAGTTAGCATTAGCACAACTTCTTATAAGTGTACAGCAATCACTAATGATTGCTATCTATAATTGAACAGCATTACCGCTAGTTTTCCAAATATAGTCCGAGCGTAGTTAGTCCGAGACTGGTCCCGCTCCCCTGGTCTCTCCAGAGGATACGCTGTAAGCTCAACAATGGTTCACCCGTGCTTGATTTCTTCTTTTATCATTTTTTCGCTAGTTCCCTCTTCCCCTCCTCACTGTTTCGTCTTTGAGCCTGTTTTGCTGTGTCTGCAGTTACAGGACAGACGACGGCAGAGCCATTTCTCGGCCTCCATGCTGCTGTTGTTTACATGGGGCTGCATGACGCTAGGGGGGCAGAGGGGGAGTGGCCTAACGAAAACTAGAGTCACGCAGTTTATACTCTGCACTTTTTACGGCCTTAATTCATACAATAGCTAACTCAATTAGCTATATTTTTTTCAATTAAATATTATGGGTTTTAAAAAAAATTAGAAAAAATACTGTCTACAAAGCCGAATGTTACATAAATATAAATGCCGTTTTATGTGGATTTATTGTTGCAATAAACAACATACACTATGTTGTCAATTATCTTTCATTCAAATAACCCGATTTAGCAGAAGGTATGGCATAATATTGCTGATAGTTTGATTGAAATGTCATGGTTTTAAGTTTATTTCCTGTTTTATTTTGAAATGTGTTATCCCTGTGTTCTTCTTTGGTTTAGTACTTCCTGTTGTCTGATTGCCTGCCCTGCCCTTATCTGTCTCACTGTGTCTCGTTAGTCTTGTATTTAGCCTGTGTGTTCCTTCACTCCCTGTTCCGTCATTGTCATTCCTAGTCTGTTTTAGTTCTGTCCAGTTCCTGTATTTTGTGGTAGGTCTTGATTTGTATTACTTTCATTAAATCCATCTTTTTGCAGATTTTGCCTTTTGGGCCTCATTTGTTGTTCACCCACGTGACATGAAATGCAATAAAGTACGATTAACAATTTTTTAAGTGTATATATATTAGGGCTGCACAATATATCAAAAAAATATTGTTGCGATATTGGTGTGTGCAATATCCATATAGAAAATATCCGCGATAAAAAAAATATATACATATAAATATATGGGCTTTTTTCCCCTTTATTAAAGACAACAAAACAGACACAGACACATCAACATTCAACAAACAAACAAGCAAATAAAAAAGTATATAAATATATGCATTTGAATGTCATGTTTCAATGCAGATTGCAATTTTAGGTGAAAGACAAATATTGCAATAATATTATTGCAATACGAAACACTCATATCTACGGAGCCCTGCAAGGGCCAGGGGTAAAAAAAAAAATAAACTGTGCGCACAGATTATTAAACTGTGCGCACAGATTACTAAACTGTGCGCACAGATTGTTAAACTGTGCGCACAGATTACTAAACTAAACTGTGCGCACAGATTGTTAAACTGTGCGCACAGATTACTAAACTGTGCGCACAGATTGTTAAACTGTGCGCACAGATTACTAAACTGTGCGCACAGATTACTAAACTAACTGTGCACACAGATTGTTAAAAACTGTGCACACAGATTGTTAAACTGTGCGCACAGATTACTAAACTGTGCGCACAGATTATTAAACTGTGCGCACAGATTACTAAACTGTGCGACACAGATTGTTAAACTGTGCGCACAGATTGTTGAACCGTGCCCACAAATGCGTCAGATGAGATGTCACTTCCGGCCTCGCGTCATACCCGGTTCTACTGCTGTTACAGTCTATGCAACTACCACGGAAAATGGCAGATTTCACTCGTTGTTTAATCGAGATCCCAAAAGTCTCGGTTAATGACGTCCGACGACTGGTCAGGAGTGTGTCGATAACTCCACAGAGCCTCATGGAGAAGGGGTTTAAGTTGTATGTTTGTTCGTACATCATAAACTTTGAAGGTAAGTTCACAGGCTCTAACTCTTGCTAACATGCTAACTAATGTGACTGCCTTTTAATACCCGCAATGACCCATTCGTAGCGAGCTAATGTTATGTACATGTGTTACGATTAAAGTTGTTTTTCTAATTACCAGTGTCAGGTAAAAAATCTCTGACAGGCGAGGTGACAGTTAGAGCCCGGTGCTACCGCTCTATGAAGAAGTCCGAGGCTCTCCACCAGCTGAGAGTAGGACTTAGTCACGGCCATCGTTCTGGCATCTCTGTTGTTCAGTCCCGTTGGACTTTGTCTTTGTCTTTGTCCCGTTGGACTGTTGTTCTGTTGTCCTGTTGGACTTAATGTAGTTCTATGTTCTGTAGAACATGTTCAAATATGCTTTTTAATATAGGGGAAGCCACGCTGAAACGTTGGTAGGCAGCTAAGTAGGACGAGAATTTGTCTGGCAGCTCTGATTTTGATTACTCATGAAAGGTTATTAAACAAACAGAAATAATTTCTAAACCTTCCAATTGTACATATACTTTCACCCTACTTGGCTGCCTTTTACATTGCATTAAAAAAAGCATGACACCGTAAGACAATTCCTCTAAAACCCTCTGTTATTGTTGCAGATTACACTCCGTGAATCAACCCCAGTTGTGCTTGTTGGGAGTTCCTGCTCTTGTGTGGCTGGCCAGGCACTGTGCAACCACATAGTTGCTCTGCTGTACCAGACTGCACATAATTGTGAGAGTGGGATGTCTGTGGTGCCACCTGTTCTTTCCTGCACTGAAACCGAGCAAAAGTGGCATAAACCGCGAACCATGGTTGGTAATAATTTATGTGGTATAGCTCACGTAAATGTCTTCATTGTGAGATCAATAAAGTGTCCTATCTTAAACCAACTTTACAGGGTGTGAAGCCGGTGTGAAGCCGGGGCGAGTGGACACAGTGGTGGTTATGAAGGCCACACCAGGAGCTTCTGCAACAAGTGGAAAAAGGTATTTATTTATTTATTTTTTGTTAGTTGAGGCATTACTTGAGGCACACATACAGGACAGTAGCAAGAGCACACACGATATACAATATAAGTAGCTGCTGTGTTTCTTAGCTAGCTGTAAATGCTTCAATCAATCTGTGTAAAGGTATACACATATAGGGCAGGATAAAAAGTAGATAATGATAATCTGAAATTGCAGAATTCTGCATTCTGAAAACCGTTGCAGGCAACCTTAATTGGAAAACTTGTTTTCACATTGTGTTATTATATCCGATGCACAATTGCATTAACTGTAATTATCATATTTCCTTAGATCAACGCTCTACAAGGCTTACAGGGGTGAACTGCCAGTACCGTCAACACTTGATCCTTCAGCACACTATGCTGCTTTTGACCCAGATGTGCT